AATCTCATGTTAATATTGAGTACCTATAGAGTAGTACTGCATCCTTCATATCTCCAAAAAGTCTTTCTATTTCAGTTTCTAAGTCAGTTTCTATTTGGGGGGTTTAAAGGGTTAGTTCATCCAAACATATGTTCTGCTGGTTTCTGTTCATACAATATCAGTCAATGGAGCCTGACTTTAAGAAGATTCATGACTTTATTTGTTGGTGCTTTTGAAGCTTCTGAAACTCAGGTCTCATTGACTGATGTTGTATGAACGGCCCTGGCTACTAGCATCAGTTACGTCGCTTCACTGCCAATCACAAATCCTCTCCCGTGGCCTCATGGTGTCCATCATATGCACACTTCAAAATCTCGCTGGAAGTAGTAGGTCATCCGGGAACTTTTATGAGTACTGTGAATTCAGACATACTTCTTTTGTCACATACTCTTTTCTAGCGTCAGCGTCGCAGTACTCTCATGAACACGCAGAGACTGACACGGAAGAGAAGAAACTGTTGAATAAAGAGATTTTTTTTTTCTTTGCACACAAAAAGTATTCTTGCAGCTTCATAAAATTACGGTTGAACCACTGATGTCTCATGGACTATTTGAACGATGTCCTTACTAAATTTCTGGGCCTTGAACATGGTAGTGGCATTGCAGTGGAGGGTCAGAAAGCTCTCAAATTTCATCAAGAATATCTTAATTTGTGTTCCGAAGATGAACGGAGGTTTGGAACGACATGAGGGCGAGTAAGTCAGAATTTTCTTTTTTGGGTGAACTATCCCTTTATAATGTTGCAGATTGCTTTTATGAAGCAAAGTAGCATTGTTGTACCTCATTTTTTGTCTCTTTTTTTCCCTCTCTCTCTCTCTCTTTTTTTTTTTACCAAGTTGTGTCCAATTACCTAATTGCACATTTGCCAACTTAATAGGGCCTATAGGGTTAGTATGTTAGCTTTAACAACCTTTTTTTTTTTTACTTTTAAAAAACATAAAATTGCTATAAAATTAAAGCCATACGTCTAAATAAATTGTTCCAAATTTAAAATTGATGTCACATTAGTTGAGGTTCCTGTGAGATTTTGTGTAGGCACTGTGACAAAAATAGCCAATGGGTGACACCCAAACTCCACTGAATTTTTTGATGCATTTTCCCGTCAGAAATGTATATATTTCTGTCACAATATTAATTCTATCACAAAATAACAACCAAATTTTGTAATATGACACTTGAAAGGGAGAAGCCCCCTTTCAGAGTACCATTTCCATGGCAATGCAATGTCCAATTTCAAAATGGTTTTCAGCAGGGGTCTTGAAATTTCGATTTCGATATATATATCATCGAAATTTTATATACAGTGGGTACGGAAAGTATTCAGACCCCCTTAAATTTTTCACTCTTTGTTATATTGCAGCCATTTGCTAAAATCATTTAAGTTAATTTTTTTTCCTCATTAATGTACACACAGCACCCCATATTCATATATATAATTTTTTTCACGCCACAATATTGAAACTCCACATCAGTATAGAATTGAATACAATTTATAAGCTAGCACATGCACAGCTTTCTTGTCTCACAGACAGATGAAAACAGATGACTAATATTACAGCATGGCATTACAACACCTATAAACCAGTCACTGACAGACTGAAATCAAAAACATTAGGCATTTTTAAATACGTACACAATTTTGTTTAAAATAACTGCCTGCCGGTACTAAAACCATATAAAACAGTTGGGGGGCGTATTTTTGTAACAACAACTAGGATTTTTGGACAAAATCACTGAGATTAAGTAGATGACTTCTGAACCAATACTAAAACAACAATAAACCTTATACAATAAAGCATTTCTGGGAAACAGAAACCTCATCTGTAACAGAGGTTCAAACTGTAAAGCAGGGTTTAAGCAAATTCTATAAAGAATAATTTTGACATTAAGGTTGATGTCAATGTTTGTAAGTTCATTTGCAAGGAGAAGTGAATATTCTCTCGAATATAACATATTTGCCAATGGACATCTATTCAACAGCCGTCACTTTACAGTAAAGTATGTAACAATGGTAAAAGTCATTGAAACTTTTTTTTTTACTTGATTCACAAGAAATTGGTGAAATTCACTTAGATTCAAACATGTTTAGAAATGCTCCTGCTGCATAAATTTGTGGTGATTGCAAACAAAAATCCTATTGAAATTTAATTAGAGAGCATGCCTCTGGTGTTTTGTGGTTTATCTTATTATAGTTCGTTGGGACATAAAAAGCAATGTGGCTAACCAATACTGTAGTCTGGAAGCTCAAGTATATTTACTTTTTTTTCCCTGAACTACTAATTTTAAACCCAAATAAATACAGTCTAGGTGAAATTTTTTTCGGGGGGGAAATTCATATAAATAAGTGCATGTCAATACTTTTCTTACAATTAGGACAAAATTTGACATTTTGTAGTTTTTGAAATCAAAACAAAATTAGAAACACTTAGAAACTAGGACGATCTGTGCACAAATCTGCAAATAAAAAGCAAATTAGTAATCTAAGTGCATTAAACCATCACGATTGTGGATATATTACATCTGAAAATGACACCTTTTGTACATTGCAGCAGCAGTCAAATGCTATAAAGATACAGATCAATTACTTTCTACATATCAATTAATAACAGATGATTTTTGAAACCAAGCAAATCAGATTATCTACATTTGTATGAACTATAGAGTTAGACTCAATGAAATAAATACATGATTTTGAAGGGAAAACATGATATTGAGGAGAAGAAGGCTGATTGTCATGATGACAGAAGTGACAGTACAAAGTCTGTGGGACACAGAAAATATGCATTCTACTCAATAACTGCTTTATCAATGAGAAAAATGAATGAGTAGCGATTCAGAAGCAAACTGTCTCGATGTTAACGGTTACATTCAACCAAGAATCACATCTTCCACTGGAAAAGACCATTGTTGTAGGTATTATCCTTGTAAGTAAAAAAAAAAAAAACTATTGGGAGAATTTGGGGATTTCAAAATTTTGTCTTGGATTGTTTCCATTGGAATCATCATGAAGTGCTCAAGTGTTTTTAAATTAAGGTTTAAAAAAAGAAAGGCCTTTGTTTAATTTTCGAGGCAAATGTCCTGTCATTGGAACTGAAAGTCCCATAATGCATCTCTCTGCAAACTACAACACAATATTTCTAGGGTAACGGTCACATACTGAAAGGCTTTCACTGTTGCAGCTCCTCTTGAGGTAGAGCTTGTTGGTCGGTTCAATATATTGTGATATATTTGAGTCACCGTGAGGGCAAGGGATGATGGGACTTGCATGACTTCAGTCTCAAGGTCAAAATGAAATGACAGTCAAAGTGCGATCACACAGAGGGACTTGTGATTTGGCTGTTGTAGTCTGCAGTCTCCATTTTAAGGATATATGGGATGATGCTGTCGATCGGTACATTTCCAATAAGGCCGGTAAAAAACAGCTCTTCAGTTATACTGGAACTCATCAACCGCAACGCTGGTAAACGCAACAGGATTCGGGCCAACCTGCCACATCAATGAGCAATTAATGAAAGGACATTAGCAAATCAGCCAATTAACACCTAAATGCAATATAACCACAGTTCTGTGAACAGCAAATAAGGCATGTTGTCAGCAACCCCAGAAAAAAAATTCATAAATATACTTAGGGCCAGAGAATTTAAAGGGGTCATATGATGCTGTCATATGACCCCTTTAAAAGCAGTGAAGTTTAGAGTTTTCTTATACTTTATGTGAAACTATACAACTTCTGGCTGTGCGTTACAAGTGTAATTCTTCTGGGTGAGTTTTGCTTTATGTAAACAATACTTTACGGACACTTGTGTCCAAGGAGGTCAAGAAATCCATGCAGCAAGTTATTCGTTAACATTCCCATTCATCTCAACAGTACTTTCTTGGCCATAGATGCTTAGTTGCTTGCCGTTTGCATTCTAAATTCCCACTAGAAGGACATTGCAAACATGTTTTTCCTTAAAACTGTTGTGTAAAAAATGTTTGCGTTAACTGACAGCATGCCACAAATGCTGTTGATCGAGACTATGATGCATTTCACCCAGAGTATTACTTTAATATGGAACAGACCTGTAGGTATCATCGGGATAAGTCTTTTGCACATAGTCCTGGAGTTCCATCTGCGCTTTTTCCTGGAACTTTTCAATTTGGCTACAGCTGCTCACACCTGGGTGATCTTGTGCATTAATGAATCAGCTGTGAGTTTACATCTCTTATACAACAACTTTTTCAATCACTCAGATGCAACATTCTGGCCTTCTTTGAGGAACTGAATGGTTGTGTACCTGAACTGAACAGGACAATGGCTTTTAAGTAGGCATATTCATATCCGTCTGTCTGCAGCTTTGCCATGCTGTTGCAGAACTCCTGCAGCTTCCATATGTGCTCCATGACTAGTGTAATGCGTTCACTCGATAGCTTGTCTACTGAGAGGAGATCAGTTGTTAGTTCATTAAAGACTTATGACAACATTTACATCAGCACATCAGTTTACAGCAGTTACATCAACATATTAACAGAGATAACTTGTTCTAGCAATGCTTCCAACATCAACAATTTTTGGTACGTTTTCATCATTAAAAAAATTAAGAAATCTTTAAATTTAGTAGTTTGAAGGTTCCTTTCTGGTGCCTTACCAGTAAACTATCCATTTAAAGCCATTATTTATGATGACGACACTGTGCCATACATTTTGAAATCACTGAAAAAACTGGAACTAGAGATTGAAATTCAGTCTCTATGACAATGCCTTTTTGTGGTAACATTTACCATTTCAACCACAACAGGTGCAGTACTTTTTAATTTCTTGAACGTTTTGTGGGGCATCATTACAGTAAATGCATGGTGCATGATTCCACATTATTCTAATTGCACTGAAAAAAGGGAAAGCACAGACTGTCAAATTAACTTGGTCTGTTCTAAACTCAATTTCTTTGCTTTTTGATTAAATGTAATTCTAAATGTGGCAAATGTGTATGTTCAACAGCACTTGAAAATGATTTCTGCTGTTGACATTACTGAAACAAAAAATGAAATATAACATTTTGGTGGGAACTGGACTGAAAAATCTATCATGTGCAGACCTCTACTTTTGCCTTTCTACCACCATCTGTGGTTAAAACACAGAACTGCATGCCATTTGCAGAGCTGTGCTTTTACATTCCAGCTGTGTTTCAGTACTGCTCTTCTTTCTGCAAGGATGGTTTTAATGGTTTGAGGAATCATCATGGTTACTGGTGCACCAAAACCCACTGAAAGTAGGAAACACTTCCGACAAAGCATGTAGAAGAAGAAGAAGAAAAAAGCCATATGAGTAAGGTTAATAACTGCCACTTTTGTTCGGATCTTGTTTTGGTAAGGGATGCAGACCCTGTGCGCGTTCCCTAACGGTTTTATTGTATAACATCTCTAGTCTCCAGCACAAAGTACACTTTGTGGATGTCAGACTTGATGTTTAACTGTGCCATACCGTCCTGGATACTGGACTGCAGATGATTGACGATGGCAGCGAGGATGGTGGACAGACTCATGATCTGAGCGCACTGTGCCAGACCCAGAATAAACAACTCATTCCAGCATGCTCGCACCAGAGCTGTGTTACATTCCTGCCTACACATACAGAGACAGAAACTGACATACTCTAAAGAGGATAACATGCATAAGTACAGAGAGAAACCCCACAAAAGAGATCTCACCCGAGAGCAAGGAAGGCTGGAATAGAGCGCGCCCAGTGCATGGAGAGGAAGAGCAGGCGTGATGCAGATTCACAGATATAATGCACATTCAGATACTCGGGCATTGGGCTTGGCATCGTCAACTAGAGCGAGAAAATAATCACACACTTAAGACTCTCTTCTATTATTTAGAATAGTAAAACACAAAAAAAATAACCGTATTTTTATTACAAAAAATCTTACATTTTGCTTAATTACTATCAACAGCTGCAATTAAACAACATTATATGTGACCCTGGAGCACAAAACCAGTCTTAAGTCGCTGGGGTATATTTGTAGCAATAGCCAAAAATACATTGTATGGGTCAAAATTATTGATTTTTCTTTTACCATAAAGATATTTCCTACCGTAAATATATCAAAACTTAATTTTTGTAATATGCATTGCTAAGAACTTCAAGAACTTCATTTTAAAGTGTGGGGGCGTGTTAGAACGAGCCGTTTTAGGTAGGCGTGGTTAACTCTTAACTTTTATAAAGAATATCTCTTTGGATTTGAGACTTTAGTCTTTGCAACTTTACTGATCTTCTTTATGCACCAAGAGCTTGTAACACTCCAAAGAGAAAGGAAAAATTTAAATCGCATCATATGACCCCTTTAAAAGCAGTGAAGTTTAGAGTTTTCTTATACTTTATGTGAAACTATACAACTTCTGGCTGTGCGTTACAAGTGTAATTCTTCTGGGTGAGTTTTGCTTTATGTAAACAATACTTTACGGACACTTGTGTCCAAGGAGGTCAAGAAATCCATGCAGCAAGTTATTCGTTAACATTCCCATTCATCTCAACAGTACTTTCTTGGCCATAGATGCTTAGTTGCTTGCCGTTTGCATTCTAAATTCCCACTAGAAGGACATTGCAAACATGTTTTTCCTTAAAACTGTTGTGTAAAAAATGTTTGCGTTAACTGACAGCATGCCACAAATGCTGTTGATCGAGACTATGATGCATTTCACCCAGAGTATTACTTTAGTATGGAACAGACCTGTAGGTATCATCGGGATAAGTCTTTTGCACATAGTCCTGGAGTTCCATCTGCGCTTTTTCCTGGAACTTTTCAATTTGACTACAGCTACTCAAACCTGGATGATCTTGTGAATAAATGAATCAGTTGTGAGTTTACTTCTGTTTTACTACAACTTTTTCAATCACCCAAATGCAACATTCTGGCCTTCTCTGAGGAATTTAATTGTGTAAAGCTGTTGGCATGTGTACCTGGACTGAACAAGACAATGGCTTTTAGGTAGGCATATTCATATCCGTCTGTCTGCAGCTTTGCCATGCTGTTGCAGAACTCCTGCAGCTTCCATATGTGCTCCATGACTAGTTTAATGCGTTCACTCGATAGCTTGTCTACTGAGAGGAGATCAGTTGTTAGTTAATTAAAGACTAATGACAACACTACAGTTACATCAGAGGTTATTTGTTCTAGCAATGCTTCCAACATCAACAATTTTTGATATTGGAGAATTGGAGATGTTTTCATCATTAAAATTTTTAAAAAATAATCTTTATAAAGAAATCCTTAAATTTAGCAGTTTGAAGGTTCCTACTGTCGCTTTGTCTTTTTTGGATGCAGACTCTGTGTAACTGTTTTATTGTATAATATCTCTAGTCTCCAGCAGAAAGTACACTCTGTAAACATTGTGGATGTCAGACTTGATGTTTAGCTGTGCCATTACCGTCCTGGATACTGGACTGCAGATGATTGACGATGGCAGCGAGGATGGTGGACAGACTCATGATCTGAGCGCACTGTGCCAGACCCAGAATAAACAACTCATTCCAGCATGCTCGCACCAGAGCTGTGTTACATTCCTGCCTACACATACAGAGACAGAAACTGACATACTCTAAAGAGGATAACATGCATAAGTACAGAGAGAAACCCCACAAAAGAGATCTCACCCGAGAGCAAGGAAGGCTGGAATAGAGCGCGCCCAGTGCATGGAGAGGAAGAGCAGGCGTGATGCAGATTCACAGATATAATGCACATTCAGATACTCGGGCATTGGGCTTGGCATCGTCAACTAGAGCGAGAAAATAATCACACACTTAAGACTCTCTTCTATTATTTAGAATAGTAAAACACAAAAAAAATAACCGTATTTTTATTACAAAAAATCTTACATTTTGCTTAATTACTATCAACAGCTGCAATTAAACAACATTATATGTGACCCTGGAGCACAAAACCAGTCTTAAGTCGCTGGGGTATATTTGTAGCAATAGCCAAAAATACATTGTATGGGTTAAAATTATTGATTTTTCTTTTATGCCAAAAATCATTAGGATATTAAGTAAAGATCATGATCCATAAAGATATTTAGTACATTTCCTACCGTAAATATATCAAAAATTTATTTTTGATTAGTAATATGCATTGCTAAAAACTTCATTTGGACAACTTTAAAGATGATTTTCTCAATATTTAG